GAGCAGAGATCAGTCTGTCATTTTTGAAATTGTACTCAAGTACTGCATTTCAGACTCATTTGTTGATTATGAGGGCTACTCCATTCCTTCTAAGGGAGTCTTGCCCCCAGTAGTATATATAATAGTCATCTGGATTAAATTCTCCCATTCCTGTTCATTTTAATTCACTGATTCATGAAATGTTGATGTTCACTCTTGCTATCTCCTGTTTGAGCACATCCAATTTACCTTGATTCATGGACCTACCATTCTAGGTTCCTACGCAATATTGTTCTTTACAGCATCGGACTTGACTTTCATCACCAGATACAACCACAATTGGGTGTTATTTCCTACTCAGCCCCTTCATTCTTTCTGTAGCTATTTGTCTGCTCTTCCCCAGTGGTATGTTGGACACCTGTTGACCTGGGAGGTTCATCTTTCAGTGTTAATCTTTCTGCCTTTTCATACTGTTCATGGGGTTCTCAAGACAAGAATACTCTAGTGGTTTGCCATCCCCTTCTCCAGTGGAGCACGTTTTGTCAGGCCCTAACTAACAGGGACATAGCCCTCAGCTGCTCAGTGTATCTGGATGACGTGCCTGGTGGCTGTTCCCCCAGTAATCTTCATTGAGCGTTTAAACCATCACTGGCTGTTGGGTGTCAGTCAGTGTGCAGCCAGGGATCGAGGAAAAGGCCCTGCTGTCGGGGAAGGCTGGATCCAATGTTGGTGGATACCCAGGAGCAGAGGGCACCCCAGCCTCACCACCGCTGCTGTCTGCTGGGGAGCCAGTTCTCCACTCAGGAGTCGTTGGCTAAAATGTAGCTTTGTATCTATAACACCACAGCCAAGATCCAGAAGCGTTCCATGATCACAGGGATCCCATATTATATCCTTTTATAAGCATACCCATATCTTTCTTGTCTGGCCCTACCTCATCCCTAAGTCTAACAATCACTAATATGTTCTCTATTTCTATAATTTTGTCACTTACAGAATGTTCCATGTACAATTCATCAGTAAACAGACCAAAAAAAATTAATGAGGAAGGAATTTCAGTAGCCATTACTGCAAAGAATGTATATAAGTAAACAATAAACCCAAAATACTGTACTCCGCATCATTAGTCATTAGAGAGATGCAAATGAAAACCACAATGAGGTACCACTTATGATCCATGAGGACTGCTACACTTGGGAGAGAAGAAAAAAAGTGTTGGAGCTCTTGTACATTTTGGATGGAAATGTAAAATGGTATAGTGACTGTGCACAGCAGTTTAGTAGTTACTTAAAAAGTTAAACATAGTTACTCTATTACATAGCAGTTCCACTCCTAAGCATATGACCAAAGTAATTGAAAATACATGTCCACACAAAAACCTTTACACAGATGTTCATACAGCAGCATTATTCATGATAGCCAGATAAGTGGAAACAATCCAAATACTCATCAGCTTGTGAATGGATAAACAAGATATGTTGTATCTATACAGTACAGTAGTATACAACCATAAAAAGGTATGCATTACTGATCTGTACTACAGCATGGGTGAACCTTGAAAGTATTATGCTAAATGAAAGAAGCCAAAAAAATCCACAAAGAGGCCATGTAATGCATGTGACTGAAAGTGGCTCAGTCCTGTGACCCCATGGAATAGTCCATGGAATTCTCTAGGCTAGAATACTGAAGTGGGTAGCCTTTCCCTTTTCCAAGGGATCTTCCCAACTCACGGATTGAACCCAGGTCTCCCACACTGCAGGCAGCTTCTTTACCAGCTGAGCCATAAGAGAAGCCCCATGTATTGCATGATTTCATTTAAATATCTAGACTAGGCCAATTCTCACAGCCAGAAAATAGATTAATGGTTGAGGGGTAAAGGGAATGATGATTGCTAACAGCTGTGGGGTTTCTTTTGTGGGGTGATGAAAATGTTCTATAATGTTGAAAGCCTACATCTACCCAAAAACCTGCATGTGGATGTTTACGGCAGCTTTGTTTATACTGGCCAAAACCTGTAAGCAACCGAGATGTCCTTCAGTAGGTGAATGAACAAATAATCCAGTAAATAGAATATTATTCAGTGCTAAAAGAAATGAGCTATCAAGTCATGGAAAGAGTTGGAAAAATCTTAAATGTGTATTACTAAGTGAAAGAAGCCAATCTGAAAAGGCACATGATTTCAATGATAATGATATTCTGGAAAAGATAAAACAATGAGGATAGTAAAGATTAATGGTTGCCAGGAGTTTTGAGGAATGAGAGATGAATAAGCAGAGCATAGAGGATTTTAAGGGTGGTCAAATTCTGTATGATACTGTAATGGTAGATACATATCATTATACATTTGTTCAAAACCATAGACTATATAACATCCAAACTGAACTGTAAGGTAAACTGAACTGTGGGTGATGATGTGTCAATGTAGGTTTATTGATTGTAGCAAATCTCCCCTCTGGTGTAGAATGTTGATAGTGAGGGGGGCTCTGCATGTGTGTGGGAAGAGTGTACATGAGAACTCTGTTCTCAACTCTGCTGTGAACTCAGTACTGCTCCAAATAATAGTCTTATCTTTAAAAAGTTCTGTGTGGAGATTTCTTAAAGAACTGGAAAGAGAACTGCCATATGACCCAGCAATCCCACTCCAGGGCATACACACCGAGGAAGCCAGATCTGAAAGAGACACGTGCACCCCAATGTTCATCGCAGCACTGTTTATAATAGCCAGGACATGGAAGCAACCTAGATGCCCATCAGCAGACGAATGGATAAGGAAGCTATGGTACATATACACCATGGAATATTACTCAGCCATTGAAAAGAATACATTTGAATCAGTTCTAATGAGATGGATGAAACTGGAGCCCATTATACAGAGTGAAGTAAGCCAGAAAGATAAAGACCAATACAGTATACTAACGCATATATATGGAATTTAAAAAGATGGTAACGATAACCCTATATGCAAAACATAAAAAGAGACACAGATGTACAGAACAGACTTTTGGACTCTGTGGGAGAAGGCAAGGGTGGGATGTTCTGAGAGAACAGCACTGAAACAAGTATACTATCAAGGGTGAAACAGATCACCAGCCCAGGTTGGATGCATGAGACAAGTGCTCGGGGCTGGTGCACTGGGAAGACCCAGAGGGATGGGATGGGGAGGGAGGTGGGAGGGGGGTTCAGGATGGGGAACACATGTAAATCCATGATTGATTCATGTCAATGTATGGCAGAAACCACTACAATATTGTAAAGTAATTAGCCTCCAACTAATAAAAATAAATGGAAAAAAAAAAAAGTTCTGAAACTAGCCAGTGGTTTTGGATGCGCTCCATTGTGAATACACTAAAAACCTGCTGAGTTGTGAATTGTGAAATACAAATTGAATACTATGTGAATTATGTTTCAGCCTTAAAATAGAGCATGTTCCAAGAACATTATATAAATAGAATCAAACAGTATGCTACCTTTTGAGATTGGATTTTTTTCACTCAGCAAAATTTCTAGAGATTCAGCCAGATTGTAGCTTCTATTAATGCTCATTCCTCTTGGTTGCTGAGCAGTGTTCCATAGTATGGATATACCACAGTTTATTTGACCATTCACCTGTTAAAGAATGTCTGGGTATTTTCAATTGGCTATTTTGAATAAATCTGCTATAAACATTTTGGGTATAGATTTTTTAATAAACATAAATTCTCATTTCTCTGGGATAAATGCTTAAGAATACAACTGTTGAGTTGTAATTGCATGTTAGCTTTATAACAAACTGTAAAACTATTTTTCAGAGTGGCTGTACCATTTTACATTACCGTCCAGCAATATGTGAGTTATATATGTTCTCACCAGCATTTGGTTTTGTTACTACTTTTTATTTTAGCCATTCCAGTATGTATGTAGTGATATATCATTATTGTTTTAACTTGAACTTACTGATGTTCAATGATATTGAACATCTTTTTATGTGCTTGTCATGCCATACTCAGTTGCTCAGTTATGTCTGACTTTTTATACAACCCCAGGGACTGTAGCCTGCCAGCCTCTTCTGTCCATGGGATTTCCCAGGCAGGAATACTGGAGTAGGTTGCCATTTCCCTCTCCAGGGGATCTTCCTGACCCAGGTATCAAACCCAAGTTTCCTGCATTGGTAGGCAGGTTCTTTACGACTGAGCCACCAGGAAACCCCTTTTATGTGTTTATTCTTTCCTAAATATAGCATTTAATCAAGTCTCTAAATCTTTCAACCATTTTATAGGAAACAGGAAAAAGAAACAAGATAAGTGATATCTTGGGGAAGCAATTGGTCAAATTCAGAATGTGGGACATTCTGTGGGTCACATGTCCTAATTTCTACAACAAGTCAGTGCCTAACTAGGGGGAGTAGGGTGGAGGGGGGAGGAACTGTGTGAGGAGACTTAAAAAATGAAAGAGACTTAAATAATAACTAGATACAGTATATGGGTTGCCTTGGATTTTGACTTGAACAAACCAAAAAAATAAACAGAAAAAGGATCTTTGAGACAATCAGGGAAACCTGAGTATGGACAAGTTATTAGACTTTTCTAAAGAATTATTGTTAATTTATTTCAGTTTGTTAATGGTATGTTTATATAAGAAGAAATTCTTGTCAGAGATCAATATTGAATTACAAAGTAATGATATACCTAGAATTTGTTTTTGAATACTCTAGCAAAAAAAAAATGCAGAAAAAAGTAGGAGTGGAGTAGAAGAGTAGGGAAAACAAGACTGGGAAAATATTGATAATTGTTGAAGATGAGTGATGGCTTCCTGAGGGTGTGTTTCAATAGTCTTCTTTTCGTGTTTGATGTTTGGAATTTTCCATGAAAAAATGTTCAGAAAAATTATTTGTGGAAATAATATTTTGCATTTTAAAAGAAAATGTGAATAGTTGACTGCTCAGAAGGCATTTGTAGTTTTCTGCTATAAAACAAATTCAGCCTTTATGAAAAAAATATCTGATTCTGGAGGACAAATGACTAAAGTTTTGTTTTTTTATTTAGGCAGAAGAAAACAAAAGATTGAGGGAACTCCAGCTTGAACAAGAAGAAAAATTGGCTACAGAACTGGCAAAACTAAAACGTGAAAGTCTAAAGGATGAAAAGTTGAGGCAACAAGTAAGAGAAAACAGGTATCTTGACTCCAAAACCTTTATTTATTTAGTCTTTATCTGTAAAGTTTTATGTAATGCTTATCACCTGAGAGTGAAATTTCTTTCTTTATGTCATTGTACTCAGTTAATATTTTGAGTGGAAATACTTACTGCTTTAAATCCTATGTGTGTGTGTGTGTGTGTGTGTATGTGTATACACACATATATATATTCATTTGAGTAAAGAGGTCCTATTCATAGAAATAAAGTGATAATATTTGAGGTGAAAATTAATATCAATTCCCTCTTCTCTTTTCTCTGAAGATTATTATTATTATTTTTTTCCATTTATTTTTATTAGTTGGAGGCTAATTACTTTACATCATTGCAGTGGTTTTTGTCATACATTGAAATGAATTAGCCATGGATTTACATGTATTCCCCATCCCGGTCCCCCCTCCCACCTCCCTCTCCACCCGATCCCTCTGGGTCTTCCCAGTGCACCAGGCCCGAGCACTTGTCTCATGCACCCAACCTGGGCTGGTGATCTGTTTCACCCTAGATAATATACATGTTTCGATGCTATTCTCTTGAAACATCCCACCCTCGCCTTCTCCCAGAGTCCACAAGTCTGTTCTATACATCTGAGTCTCTTTTTATGTTTTGCATATAGGGTTATCATTACCATCTTTCTAAATTCCATATATATGTGTTAGTATACTGTAATGGTCTTTAAATGGCCTCTTTAAAAAAAAATAGACTCATGAATCTGACTCTTAAGAGAAATCTTAGGTGACGCCTAATTTAATTTTATGCCCCTACATAAATTTCCTACAGTATTTCTGGAAGATGGCTGATCATCTGTGGTTCAGCATGTCTAGTGACTATAATAGAAACTTTCTTTTTCATTCAGCTCTTTGCATACTCCTTTTTCCTCTGTTGTTTCAAAGTTAATTTCTCTGTCATTTCCAGGCAGTTGTCTTAGTTCCGTTATCTGACTGAAACAGAAATAGAGTTCTTTAGGACATCCTTTCCTATTCCCAGGTGGCTCAGTGGTAAAGAATCTGCCTGCCAAGCAGGAGACCTGGGTTTGATCCCTGGGTTGGAAAGATTTCCTGGAGAAGGGACTAGCTACCCAGTCCAGTATTCTGGCCTTGAAAACTCCATGAACTGTATAGTCTATGGGGTTGCCAAGAGTTGGGCATGACTGAGGGACTTTCACTTCACTTTCACTTAGATATTTATGAATTCACTAAACATTTCCTTCTATAAGTTAAATATCCTTCATTCTTTCATTTGTTCCTTAGACTTCAAGCTGCTTCCCCATCCTGATTGTCTTCTGTAGATGTGACTTAGACTTGTAATGTTCCTTAACAAAATATTGGGGGCTTTCCTGATAGCTCAGCATTAAGGAATCCACCTGCCAATGCAGGAGACACAGGTTCGATCCCTGGGTCAGAAAGATCCACTGAAGGAGGAAGTGGCAACCCACTCCAGTATTCTTGCCTTGAAAATCCCATGGACACAGAAGCCTGCTGGGCTATAGTCCATAGGGTCACAAAGTGTCAGATGCAACTGAACACACAAGATCAAGATACTGTTCCCACAATTATGTGTAGTACTCTAGGGTGTTGTTCAGTACCCCTAATAGTGAGATTGTTAACCACATTGTTCTGGAATATGTTCCTTAATGTTGCCTCAGATCACTTTCACACTGTTAATTAAAACCCAGGCTAACTAAATGCCCATTCTGAACTTATATAGTTGAATATATTTGGAATTTACTTTGATGGTTGTTACATTTTATCTTGACTGAACAAGCTTCTATAGAATATGATATGACCCATGGATAAGCTTCAGAGGTTTTTGAACTTCTTTAAATTACATGTAAATATATTTGGCAAATACACTCATGTGTATTTTTCTGTGTCCACAACTTCTATCTAATTCTCTAGGAATTACCATTCTTTAAAAAAAAGAAAAAAGATTTAAAATGACTGCCAATGTCTTCATAGTGTTCTAGTCTCAAGCTATCTTTTTTGATCCTAATTCTCCAGTCATTTAGTTATCATGATACTTTTATGTTATCTGAAGATGAAATAAATGTTCTGTTATTTCATGGCTTTGATTCATGCAGGAGCTTTGTAGCAGCTGCAAACTACTTGATTCAGATAGAGGCTCCCTCTCAGAGCAGACTATCTGGAGAAGGTATAAAAATAAGACATGGGAGAGGAAGGAAACCAGAGTAGTGAGTGTGGCTTTTGTAGCTGCATTTCTTCTGGCAGTTTTTGCAGGTGGCACAAGTATGGCTAAAAGTTAAGTGAAGGTGAGCTTGACCAGTAAGCATATAGCAAGGTGTTCAGCATCATCTTACATGATACATGCTTGCGAATTTTCTACTTTAGTGTATGTTTTACTTTAATAATCCACAAGCTAATTAGGTTTTACTGGATAGAAACAGATGAAGAGATACTATGGGAGCAGATCAGTTGAACATATCCAGAATAAGCATAGAGAAACAAAAGGATAGAAGAATACAAAAGAGATCTTAAAAGTGGTAAGAGCTGTGCTGACAGGTTCTACTAGATGTATAATTTTAGTTTTGGTAGTAGAAATGAATGAGGATGATGCAGAAATGCAATATTCAAAGAGATATAGGCTGAAAGAGATATAGGCTGTGAATTTCCAAAAATAGTAAACGACAAAGCCACAGGTTTAGACATAATAAATAATTAAAAACATATTTATGCTCATTCTAGTCAAACTTTCAAAATCTAACAATGGAGAAAAATCATAAAAATTTACAAAAGTAGCCACACAAAAAAGACTGTTGCCTTCAAAGGAACAATAGTAAGAAGTCTGACTGAACTTTGAGCAGCAATCTTAGAAGATAGAAGACAGTGGATTTAAAGGGCCAAAAGAAAATAATAGCCCATTTAGAATTCTATACATTGTGGAAATTTTCTTCAAATGTAAGACAAAAGTCATTTGTTGAGTATTCTTTCAAATAGAGTATGTTTCTTCTCAGCATGGTAAAATAGTGACTGACACGGAGAGTAGACCCTTTTCTGATCAGTGTACTCATCTGCAGATTGGCAGGTCTAAATTCAAGGAAGTGTTTGCTAAAGCAAACTAAAGTCCTTGAAATGTATCTGAAATAATTGAAAATCATCTCAATCATGATTAGGCTCTTCTAATTTAATTTTTCAAACCCAGGGCAAATTTTTAAGAATCATTGAAATTTATTTTGAAAAGTTCAAGTTCAGAAGTCATGAGACTTTTATTTTGAACATATGATTTTGTTTAATTTAGAAAGATATTTAAAAGTTTAATTTTTTCACAGCTTTTAACTCGAATTGAGAAACTGTCTAGTTTTAGAAATCCCTTTTTAATTACACCATTAGTCAATAATTAGAATTAGTAACAATTGTTTAGTTATTAGAATTAATTGTATAATTATGACTATGTAATTTACAGTTATTAAATAATGGATTACTATAGATTATATAGTTAACCTATAGCTTCATGAAAACAAAAACAAGTACCTTGTTTATAACTTGTGTTAGTTCAGCAAAAACTAGCTCAAAGAAGAGTCAGAGACAGCCTTTCCTTATTAAATGTACAGCCAATTCCTTGCCAATGACAGTATGATTATAGTCCAGACTGATAATCAAGATGTTAATTATATAAACACAGATGAGATGGATTTTAAAAATAACATTTTTAGTCAAACAGAGTAGAGACTTGATTACTGATAACCCTGCATTAAAGGAAATACTTGTAGTTGTTCTGGAGGTAGAAGAATAGTCCCAACATTAGTTTCAGAACCTCTGGGAGGCAAATGTGTAGTAACTCTAGGTGAGATTTGAATGTGTTAATCATTTATTGGAATGATTGGATTTGGAATTTAAAATATATAAAGAGTTTAAAATGTTGTTGGTCATTCACTAAGTTGTGTCTACTCTGTGGCCCCATGAACTGCAGCTCACAGTGGATATCCTTGCTGTCTATGGGACTCTAAAGAGTCTTCTCTAGCACCACAGTTCGAAAGCATCAATTCTTTGGTGCTCAGCCTTCTTTATGGTCCAGCTCTCACATCTCTACATGACTACTGGAAAAACCACAGCTTTACCTATATGGACCTTTGTTGGCAAAGTGATGTCTGTGCTTTTTAGTACACTGTCAAGGTTTGTCATAGATTTTCTCCCAAGAGCAGACTCTTCGTGTCTGCGGTATCCATCCACATTGATTTTGGAGCCCCCCAAAATAAAGTTTGTCACGGTTCCATTTTTTTCCCCATCTATTTGCCATGAAGTGATGGTATCAGATGCCGTGATTTTAGTTTTTGATTGTTGAGTTTTAAGCCAGCTTTTCACTCTTTTCTTTCACCTTTCTCTTTCACCTTCAACAAGAGGCTCTTTAGTTACTCTCTACTTTCTGCCATTAAAGTGGTATCATCTACATATCTGAGGTTGTTGGTATTTTTCCTGGCAATCTTGATTCCAGCTTGTGAGTCATCTAGTCCAACATTTAATTAAGATGTACTCTGCAAATAAGTTAAGCAGGATGACAATATACAACCTTGACGTACTCCTTTCCCAATTTGGAACCAGTCCTTTGTTCCATGTCCAGTTCTATCTGTTGCTTCTTGTCCTGCATACAGGTTTTGCGGGAACCAGGTAATGTGGTCTGGTATTCCAGTCTCTTTAGGAGTATCCCAGAGTTTGTTGTGATCCACACAGTCAAAGGCTTTAGTGTAGTCAGTGAAGCAGAAGTAGATTTTTTTAGAATTCCCTTGTTTTTTCTGTAATTCAGCATATTTTGGTGATTTGATTTCTGGTTCCTCTGCCTTTTCTAAATCCAGCTTGTACATGTGGAAGTTCTTGGTTCATGTACTGCTGAAGCCTAGCTTGAAGGATTTTGAGTGTTATCTTGCTGGCATGTGAAATGAGTGCAATTGTGTAGTAATTTGAACATTCTTTGGATTTGCCTTTCTTTGGGAATGGAATGAAAACTGACCTTTTCCAGTCCTATGGCCA